GATTCATCAGGCGGAAAACGAAGTTTTATAATAATGGAATGTTCGAAAAGTGACACTAAAAACGGTGCTAATTCGGTAACCCGTGGCCTGATTTAATTGAAACTTGTTTTATTCTGTTTCTATTCTCATTTCATTACAAATATGACTATTGTGCACTGTTTTTGCTGTATTTAGTTACAGACAAGCACACAAACAAACAATCTCAGTGTTTTAGTAGTATATAGATGTTCAGTATTTGATTGCATATTTGTGTTTGGATGGTTACCTTCTACTGGACTTATGAACTGATTATTAGATTTTCCTGTTTCAACACGTCTTCCTACCAAGCAACTTACTTGAGATCCTGTGTAGCACAGTTTGAATCTAACATTTCTTACTTAATGAGAGACATTGGGTTTATCCATAATGACTAGCATTACCCACTTGGTTGGTCTTTCTCTTTCATCATAAGGGAGGCCATAATCTCAAGATAACATCTTCCCTACCTGTGAATAACACTGTTGGCATCTGTGTTCTTGCATAATGTGCAGCATTGTGACAATATCACCTTTGGGCAGAACAAGTATCTGTAGATAACAAGTAAGGAACAAATAGACAATAATCTCAAGATAGCATCTGCTCTACCAGTGAAGGACACTATTGTCATCTATATTCTTGCACAGTGTAAAGAGTTATAACAATACTTCCTGTGGGCAGGACAAATTTTATCTCTAGAGAACAAATAAGGAACAAGTATGTAGTAACTTCTACCAAAATAGCTGAGAAGATTATAAAATAACTATTACAATACATAATATATAGTCTTAAGTATGAGTAACAGGGTTTGCTCGAGGTCATCAGTTGGGCACACTTGTTGCTGGCAGTATTTTTGATTCTTAAACCAAGAACACCCAATGAAATTAGGCCTATTTAGCAAAATTACCAAGCACCAAAATAAAACTGTTGCATGAAAGGGCAGCTAGAAGGAATCAACTTAACATTTTTCTGTACCATTTTGTACATTAAGATATGTATGGTATGTCTACTTACTACATTTAGTTAAATGGGTATAAATTAGAGACAATCTGCATTCATTAGTTCTTGCAATTCCATATTTTTAACATAACCTAATATACAGACAGCAAAGGACCAGTAAAGTACTGGCCTCCAATGCTGATGGTTGTTCCCCTCCTGTAAAGTACTGGCCTCCATCAATGCTGATGGTTGATTCCTCTCCTGTAAAGTACTGACCTCCATCAATGCTGATGGTTGATTCCTCTCCTGTAAAGTACTGGCCTCCATCAATGTTAATGGTTGATTCCTCTCCTGTAAAGTACTGGCTTCCATCAATGTTAATGGTTGATTCCTCTCCTGTAAAGTACTGGCTTCCATCAATGCTGATGGTTGATTCCCTCCTGTGAAATACTGGCCTCCATCAATGTTAATGGTTGATTCCTCTCCTGTAAAGCACTGGCTTCAATCAGTGCTGATGGAAACTTATTCTGTTTGTCAGTTACTCTGTTAGAAAAATAAAATTCTTAAATTTGTGTCCTCTCATCCTATCATCTTAAAAATTTGACATAGAAGAAACATAGGCCTTTATCCTATTGATTCCCCTCTCCTGAATAATCTTGTAAATTTCTGTAAGATCAACTGTTATCCTCATTTTTTCAAGAGAAGATGAATTGAGA